AATAATATCACAATATCTATCAAGATGGCAAATACAGTCCTGGCAGGTGTGGTTCAGTAGTTATAGCATCAATGTCACAGGTTCAATTCCCAGTCAAGGGCATGTACCTGGGTTGCAGGTTCAACCCCCAGGCCTGTCCTGATGCATGCAGGAGGCAACCAATCGATGTGTCTCTCTCACATAAATGTTTCTCTCTCTCTCTCTCTCCCTTCCTTCCTTCCACTTTAAAAATCAATAGAAAAAATACTTTCAGGTGAGGATTAACAAAAAGAAAAGATTGCAAATACATGTATTCTTTGACCTAACAACCCAGTTCTGGAATTTATTATGCAAATATACTTGTACACAATACTAAATTATGAATGTGTGAAATTATTCATTGTTGTATTATAATAAAATATTAAAAACCAATCAAATGTCCATAGAGGACTGATTACATTTGGTACAGACAATAGAATTCTATTTGGTACAAGCAATAGAGCTTTAAAAGCAGAGGAAATTTTCACTGTACATACTGATATGGAAAAATCTTGCATTAGTCAAGGTTCTCCAGAGAAACAGAACCAATGGGAGACAGAAACAGATGAATTAGCTCATGCAGTCCTGGAGGCTGGCGAGTTGCAAGATCTGTGGGATGAGTCAGCAAGCTGGAGACCCAGGAGAGCCGATGGTTTAGTTCCAGTCCAAAGGCTTGCAGACTCAACACCCATGTTTTGAAGAATCCATGGAAGAATCCATGTTTCAGTTAGAGTCCAAAGACAGAAAAAAGCCCATTTCCTAGTTCGAAGGCTGTCAGACGAGAGGAATTCTCGCTTACTTAGGGAGGAAACAGCTTTCTTATTCTATTCAGGCCTTCAACTGATTGGAAGAAGCTCCCACATCAGGGAGAACAATCTGCTTTACTCCATCTACCCACTTAAATGTTAATCTCATCCAAAACCACTCTCACAGAAAACACCCAGAATAATGTTTGACCAAATATCTGGGCACCGTGTGACCCAGTCAAGTTGGCATTGGCCATCACGTATCTATAAGAGATCCTGATGAGTGGAAAATCAAGATACAGGAAAGAGTGGGTAGTCTGCTTCCCCTTTATGTTAAAAAAATGATGGGAGAAAGATAACAATAAATGTGCATATTTGCTTGTATTCACATTAAGACACTCTGAAGGAACACACAAAAACGAAAGAAAAAGGTTATCTCTTGGAGGTGTGTGGGGACCAAGGAGAGTTTTCACTTTGTTGTTGTTGTTGTTGTTGTTAATCCTCTCCCAAGGATATTTTTCCATTGTTTTTTAGATAGAGAGGAAGGGAGGGAGAAAGGGAGAGAGAGAGAAAGAGAGAGAGAGAGAGAAACATCGATGTAAGAGAGACACATCCATTGGTTGCCTCCCGCATGACCTTGACCGAGGCTGGGGATTGAACCTGCAACCCAGGTATGTGCCCTTGACTGAGAATAGAACCCGTGACCCTTTGGTCCTCAGGCCTATGTTCTAACTGCTGAGCCAAACTGGCCAAAGCAAGAGAGATGTTTAAACAAGAGTTATAGACTTATAATGTGTGATGTAACCCACCTTCATATATATTATTTTTAAAATTTTTATTTATTTTATTTTTTGCATTTATCTTCAGATAGAGTGGGAGAAAGAGAGGGAGGAAGAGAGAGAGAGAAACATCAACAAAGAGACACATCGAGTGGTTGCCACCCTCACGACCCCAACTGGGGCCGGGGACAAACTGCAACTGAGGTACGTGCCCTTAGTGGGAACCGAACCCAGGACTCTCTGGTCCACAGGCCGACAGCTCTTAACTGCTGAGCCAAACCAGCCAGGGCCCACCTTCATATTTATTCCCAAGAAACATTCAATAAAAGTCTCTATTGCCTTTGGGGTTTGATCTGTAGGGTTTTGAAATATTATTGTGGGTCGAGACAGATCCAGGCATATCTGGGAGTAGGAAAATGGTGAAGGAACTCAAGGAAGAGGAACCTTCAGGACCTGGCCCAGCCTCTGCTATGGAGAAGGTCAGCAGACTCTTAAGGGGGTAACCCCCATCACTGAACCTGCATTCTGGGTCCACTGTGCTCCTGTCAGGCAGAACCATGCCCTACCCCACATCCTGATCCTCAGATCCCTCCAGAAACCATTCCTACCAGCTCACACACAGAAGCATACAAGTATGGTCCATGGATGAAAGGTTCAGAGAACAGAACTCTGGAGACCCAATGCACACTACAGAGGGAGAACAGCGCTAGAGCTGGGCTCAGTACATGTGCAGGGCTGTGGTCAATTTGGGGAAAGGCAGAGGGCCAGGCTGAAGCCAGTGTTAACCTGAGACCAGGCTGAGTGCAAAGGAGGGGCACAGACCAAGGTCAGGAGTAGTCATCAATTTTTATTTTATTATTTTAGGAACTTGGGTAAACAGAATTGGACTCCACATAATCCTTGGTTCACGACCCTCTCTCCCCACTTGTCCATAAACAGTCCACTTGTGAACACCTGTAAAACCACCACTTGCCCCAAGAACTAAAACATTACAAATAATATATCTAGCCCAGCTGGTGTGGCTCAGTGGTTGAGCATCGACCCATGCACCAAGAGGTTGCCAGTTTGATTCCTGGTCAGGGCACATGTCCAGGTTGTGGACCCAATCCCCAGTGCGGGGCATGCTGGAAGCGGCCAATTGATGTTCTCTCTCATTGATGTTTCTCTCTCTCTCTCCCTCTCCCTTCCTCTCTAACATCAATAAAGAAAATTTTAAAAACCCACAAATAACATATCTACTCATGTGCCTCTTGCATCTCTGCCCTCTGCTCTCTCTCAGAAGTAACCACTAGCTTATATTTTATCCTCCATTGCTTTTTCCTCTTTGTAGTCAGCTTCTAAGATGGCTCCCAGTGATCCCTGCCTCCTGGTGTTCAAACCTATATGTTCCTCTCCCTTTGAATGTGGGCTGGACTAAGTGACTTATTTCAAATAAACAGAACATGATGGATGTGATAGATGCCACTTCATAATTGCAGTAGGTAAGACTACTACTTCCATCTTGCTGCAGATTCTAATTCTCTCCCTCCCTGGATGACAAGGAAATGAGGGCAGCCACCAGCCAATAACCAGCAAGGAACTGAAGCCCTCACTCCAACAGTCCACAAGAAACGGAACTCTGTCAACAACCAAATGAACTTGGAAGTGAGTTCCCCCCCAGTGGAGACCACAGCTCTGGCCAACACGTAAATTGCGAGAAACCCTGAAGCAGCTCTGAGGACCCAGCTAAGTCATGCCTGGACTCTTGAGTCACAGAAAAGATGAGATAATAAACGCATGCTGTTTTAAGCCATTAAGTTTGTGGTAATTTGTTACACAGTAATAGATAACAAATACAAATTCTTCTCAGTCCCGCCCTGGCCGGTTTGGCTCAGCGGTTGGAGCGTTAGCCTGCGGTCCGGAGAGACCCGGGTTCGGTTCCCGCTAAGGGCATGTAACTTGGTTGCAGTTTGTCCCCGGCCCTGGTTGGGTCGTGCGGGTGGCAACCACTCGATGTGTCCCTTTCACATCGATGTTTCTCTCTCTATCTCTCCCTCCCACTCTATCTGAACAAAAAATGGAAAAATGTCCTCGGGTGAGGATTAAAAAAAATAAATAAAAAAAAATAAAATAAAAAAAAACAAATTCTTCTCAGTCCTTTTGCTATTACAAAACGTTTTGTTACAAACATTGCTATACATGTGTCCCAGAACACAGAACACAGAGCTTAAGTTTCTCCTGGGTATATGCCGAGTATATGCCTAGGAACAGAACTGGGGGGGGGGGGGGCTCAGGATTTGCCAATGTTCAGAGTTACTGATCAGAGTTAGGGTCATGTATCCTGATCAGGATTGGGAGTCGAACTTGTCTTCAGTCCATGGAACTTGGGATCAGTCTGTGAGAAGGGTTGAGAGTCATACAGAGGACACATTTAGGAGTCAGTCCACAGGCAGGGTTTAGGGCGAGTATGTGGCTACGTTTGAGGAGAATATGAAGTCTGGGTTTGGACAGAGTTGGAGGACACTGTGAGGGTGGGTCTGCAGGGCAGACTAGTAAGGTCAGAGATATCAGCCTCTCCTAGTACAGAAGACCTGACAATGTAATGTCATCAACCTACCAAGCAGTGGCCACCCAGGGCTCAGCTGCCTACAAGGTAAAATCCACTCTGGGCCCAAAGGCTCTTTCACTCAAGGGGTGGAGGGGCAGTAAAAGGAAGGCAGGACCTCACTGTCCACAAGGACCCAGGCAGAGAGAAGGCAAGCTCAGGAAAGAGAACACAACACCTTTAATGGGGGCAGCCCTGTCCCATATACTCCAAATATTCTTAACGATAGCTCATGGGAGGGGAGGGGATAGGCACAGCAGATGTCTTTCCCACCTAGCTGAGCCCACTCCTACCCCTTCCTCTCCAGGGGCTGCACTCCAGCCTCCAGATGGGTCCCAATTGAGCACCCAGGAGGGGCAAGGGACACCCTCAGCTGCCTGGAGCAACTTCCCCCATGGCCCAGGGCACAAAGAACTAGCCTGGATGGAGACACCACTGTTCTCACAGCTGGATGGGAACCCAGTTCTAGTGGTGTGGACCCAGCAGGGGTGGGAATGGGGGTGACCACCCCCCAAAGCCCAGCACAGGGAGCTCCAAGGTGGAGCCCCTGGTGTCTGGCACTGCTGTGGGGTGCACACCAGGTCTCCGCACATGGTTTCTGGTTTCTGGGAAGCAGTCCATTCTCCTGACCCAGATGGAGTGGAAGGAGGTGGCTCAGTCCAGGACTTCCGTGGGAAGGTTCCTATCCCACCACCCCGCCCACGCTCACCCTCACCCCAAGGGAGGGGCATCCTTAAGCCCCAAGAGGCTCCTTGGAGCTGCTGGACCTGCCCGCCCCATTAGTCTCTCTGTGGGTGCTTTGGCTGCAGTGTCAGGGCTCTGGTGGATACTGAGGCATCCCTGCGACCTGAGCTGCTGCTCGCCGCTGGCTGCTCACCGTTGCTTACGTTCTGCCTGCTGGAGCCGGCGGGAGAGGTCATCGATTCGCACATTCTTGAGCTGAAGGAGGTGCTCCAAGCGCCTCACCTTCATCTGGAGGACCTGGGCCATGTCGCACAGAGGTCAAGCCCAGGGACCCGCTGCCCTCTGTCCCAGCCTCTGCAGGCCCCAAGCCACCGTACCTTCCCAGTATTCTCACCTGCACGGTCTCCTGTGAGGCCAACAATTCCTGCTCCTTTTCGGCGATCTGGAGGACGAAGCTTGGATCGCCATGCAGCACCTGGCTATACCCAGGAGGCCGGGGCGCTGGCAGTCTGCCTCCCCTGGAGTGGGAAGCAGCTTAGCGGAGGCCTGGCCCTCGGGCCCCACACTTCCCCTTCCGGTGCCCCTTGGCCAGGCACCCCCCATCCCCACCCCACACCTCTTTCTTGCCTTCCTAGGAGCATCCCAGTTCTGTGCTGGGAGGTCACCTGTGCTGGGAGGTCACCTGGACTGGTAAGGTCAGGAGCTCCCAGCTTCCTTACCTGAGCTGTCCCCCTCCCTGGGGGTCCGCGGCACCTTCCCCTCGGGCCTTCTGGGACAAACCTGAGAAGAAGTAAGTGATAGAGTAACCCTTCTGGAGTTCTATCCCCCCACCCCCACCCCCACCCCCATAGAAAGGAAAGACAAGAGGAAATCTCCTCCTGGGAGGAAGGAAAAGTAAAAGTCACTTTACCCACATCCATGTAGCCAGTGCCATCCTGAGGAGCCAGCTCCTAAAAGAACCCGGGGGTCCACTGTGAGCTCACTCTGATCCATCCCCAAGGAGCCCTATGTCCCTTCCACCGTCTCCCAGCCCAGGCTCCCTTTAACCAGGCACCTTTCTTCCATACTTATCGCCAAGGTGGGGGCTTTCTGCAGCCTGGGAAGCTCCTTCAGAGCAATGGGAGAATAAATCTGAGTAGCGTGGCACCTGTAAAGAGCCGGAGTCCTGCTTCCTGCGCCGCAGCCGATCTTCCAGGCGCTGCCTCAGCGGAATGAGCACCAACTCAACCACGCCTGGCGTGCACTGCGCGATCTGGCGCATCACATCCTCCGGTACCCAGAAATTCAACTTGTTCAGCACCTTCCTGGGGTAGACACAGGGATGGCAGACCAGGTCCTCAGGAAATGAAGTGAGGGGGTGGGAAGAAGAAAGGGAATGCAGCAGTTGCTGTACTAAGTGTGCAGCCCTGGGGAATGGAAGGGCTCCACACCTGAGCCTCATTGTTGGGTGTCCACAGTTACTTTGTTGTCTCCCAATAGAAGAGTTTCTTGATTTTGTTACCAGACAATTCTGTCTGCATTGACTCTCACCACCCTGTCATCAACACCATCCCGGCCTGGGTTGTGGAGACCATAGGAGGTGGAAGGGCTGCCCCCGCCCAGGGTACGGACTGGAGATCCCGCTAGGGCACCTAGATATTTGGCTACCTGTTCAGGTGACCCCAGTTGCTGAGCTTCTGCTGGATAGAGTTGGCAGGGACATAATTGTGCATCTCCACCATCTTGGGGAAGTAAAACTTGATGACTTCTGCAACCAGGACTGAAGGAGTGGGAGTGGGAGCAGACATAGAAGATGGGGGGATGGCAAAGAGAGAAATAATGGGTGGGATGGGAGAATCAGGGGTGGCAGAGTGGTGGGGCCAAGTGGAGAGGTGGAGATGTGGAAAGGGAAAGGATGATAGGGAGGGAGAGGATAGGTGGGGGAGGGGAGATAAAGGAAGTGAGATCAGTGATTAGCTGGAGACTAAGCCTCCAGCATACCCCAGAGGGGTTGCATCCCTTCCCCACTAAATCTGGGCATTTGAAAACTGTGGTCTCTGGTGTTCTAAAAGAGAATGACTCTCCAAGGGAGCCCTTCAGGATCTTGGGGCTCCATCCTAGGCATTCATATAGATGCACACACATACCCCAACACCAAAGTCCCAGGAGAAAATCACAAACACACAGACACAGGTGATAAGATCCCTCTACAGATATGCACATGGTACAAAATGTGTAGACACACAGGATACATACATGCCCAGACACACATAGGCACACATACAGCACATACACGCTACACATGCAAACACACAGAGATGGACACATACACATACATATATTTCCATTACTGGAATTCCAAGAGACAGTTACTAACATACACACACAAGCACAAAGAGTCACATATTAAAATCCCAGGAGACAATCTTAAACAGATACCTACACAACCACAAAGCAACATATATGCACACAAGACACCCCTACATACATACAGTACAGAGTGTGTCAATACACATATGAACACACACACGCTCAGACTCCTATAAGACAAACATACAGAATACAGCAATGTGCATGCACACAGAGGTGCAAAAATACATACACAGATACACATCTTAATCATTAAGTCCCAGGAGGGAGTCACAGACTCATACTCAGACACATCTCTACAATTGAAGTCCTAGGAGATAGTCAGACACTCCCCCCCAAACATACGCACCCCACATGCACACAAGCATAAAGACATATTTGCACAAAGACCCCTTACACACGTGCGTACAGGACAGAACATGTGGACACAAACAGGTGCACACCTCCGTCACTGAAGTCCCGGGAGAGATTTCTCTTGGGCCGGGACAGAGGGATGTTGTCTACCCACAGGTACAGCTGGTGCAGTGCCTCCTCGTCCACGCTGCCCGCCATTGGCACCCTGGGCAAAGGCAGGGCGTCCCAGCCGTGCAGCGTCCAGCCTCAAACTCAAGGCTGCTCAAGCGCCTCCTCCCTCGCCGCTGAGGGCGCCCAGACCTTCTGCTTCTCTAACCCTGAGACTCCTGTCCCAGCTGGGAGCGGACATATTGTTTTCTGAAACCATGACAACCATTCTTGACTCCGGGGAGCAGAGGCTTCTGGGAGTTGTAGTTTACCCGGTTACCTCCTCTCAGGCCCCAGATTTGATGAAAAGACGATTATAGGTGGCCTTGTCTTTCCCACCTCCCAAGAAGAAATCATTTTTGCCTACGCCACCTGCTGACCAGCTACTGGCTCACTCTGGGTCCTGCCAAAGCCAATCAGGCCCCAGAACCCCTGCGCCAGCATCCCCAGGGTTGGGATCCCCCTTCCGGATCCTTAAGCAGTCAGCCCCAAGTGAAGGCGGCATCTGCTGCTTCCCATCTGGACTGTGTGATAGTGCCTCCTTGCTGGGTCCCTCCTCAAAGCTCTGTGCTCATAGGTCATCACCACTCCTCCAATTCCAGCAGTGTCCTGGTGGGGCATTTAATGTGTAACCCAGACTCCCAGGGAGAACACCAGAGCTTGAGGATAGTGTCTTGGTAAGGTCATTTAACTCCTTAACCCTATTAATATCCTTTGTGAAATGCGGACAGTTCTCACCTATTTGTTTCAATGGGGTAATGGAGAGAATAGGAAGGGTATTTACAGAAGACCTGTATTTGCATGGGGACTGCTAGATTAGGCGTTGTTATAGGTCTGAGTTGAAAGAAGACCTGTGGACACTTCCATATCCCTCATCTACCTCCAAAATGCTATTCTTTCATCGGTTAGAAATTGATTTTAGTAATCAGTTCCATTTCAAGAGGACTACTTTTAGGAAGATTAGGAAGATGGGCCTTTCTTTAGTGGAGCACAGTGCACCAGTAAAGAGCCACTTCTAGGGTCATCCTGGGGAGAACCCTTGCTTCTAGACTAGTGGTGTAGCTTTGGGCCTCCCCTGTGCCTGTTTTCTCATGGTTTTACCTACCTCATAGGGGCTTTGTGAGCATCTGAAGTGCTTGGCACAGCGCCTGACGTGTGGCAAGAGCCCTATTAACATCAGTTGGTGTTATCAGTAATGAGATGGTCCCAGTTACAGCAAAAGAGGCAAGAGACAAATGGAAGGGATTTGCCTTATTTGAGGTGAGGGACTTAGATCAGCCAGGGACACCTGGAGAGAAAGCTACTGCTCCCACCTACTTACTCCAGAGCAGGCCAGGAGGTAGGCTGGGCTTCCTCGTGACTTTCTGGTCTGCTCTCCAGGGCACAGATGGGGGTGGGGCAGGATGACAGTAAGGGAAATACCTACTACATTTTGCTGTCACTTAGTTTCCAAGCCTTCAAGGCCTAAAAAAGGATTTCTGTTTGCCAGGAGTGCAGAAAGTCAAGAATGACGTGATGACTCCCCTTTGTTTGTCATACATAGTGGCCTTGCCTTACTAAAAGGGACCACACCCAGGGCAGGCAAGAGACAAAAGATTACCTGGATATCCCCTATACCCCCTTAACATTCTAGGGTGGAGAAAGGAACTGCAAGGGGGCGGGGAACCACAGGGGTGATATGCCAGTCCTAGCCAAGGTGGGAAAACCGGTTTGGGGCCCAGAGCTGCCTGCCCTGCTAAAGCTCTGGCCCTCCCCTAGGTGGAACCGCTGGGGCCTGAAGGCCTCAATGCTGGAGGGCCAGGAAGGCAAGGCTGGCCAGGCAAGAAGAAGGGGGGTAAGATCACTGAGAGACCTGTCTTCACCTTTGGACTGGGGGGCCCCCTGGAGAGCACCGCACAGGGAGTTGCTAATTCATCTTCAGCCTCTTGGGGCATGCAATCTCTCCCCAGCTATATTATCTTTTTTTCCCATCACTGTCCCTAAAGATAGCCTCTAGGATTGAAGATGCTCTCTTAAGGCACCTGTATGCCTTTCCAAACTCCAACCTGGAGCACAGGAGCTGCCCTAACACCCCTTTCTTTCTGCCCTCTGGCCCCACTCCTGCAAGGACCCTTAATGAGCCTTCACAGGCCTAGTTCCCAGGTAGCTACAGTCTAATTTAGCCCAACAGAAACTGTTGGCTCTCTTCCTCCTGTCCCAGCCAAGTGACCCCCAAGCTCCTCTCTAACTCCAAAGCAATGCAAGGCCCGGCTTCCTTAAACCCAATCCCAGGCAGGTGCACTGAAGACCCCTACCTCTCCAAGTCTAGATAGCATTTAGATATGGAGGTGGCCCCTCACCTTAGTCAGGGCCTAGGCTGTGGTCACTCTCTCAATACTTGCTTTAATGTCCCACCAGAACAAGGACCAAAGGGCACAGGGAAAGGATGTGTCCCCAAGACAGACGCAAGCCCAAAACCATGAAGGATGCACCCTTGGCTGTTAAAACATTCACCCCCACAAAAGGGAGGTGGACGGATTTATTGAATTCAAACTGGGAAAGGAGCAGCTGGACGACTGGACTCTGGGCCCAGCCCCAGGCCCCCTGCCCAGGATAGGACCCTGCCAGACAAGAAGGAGAGGCATGGGGCCTGCAGCTGCCCTCAAAGGAAACGCCCATTTTTACTCCCCTGGAGGGCCTCTTGGGACCTCCAATCTGTTAAAACCAAGGGCCAAAGTAACATGGGCTAGGCCAGAGAAAGGGATTGGGGAGGTGGGAAAGCAGGCAGAGGCAGGCTCAGGAGCCTGCACTGAATTAGACTGTGCTTCTCGAGGCGGTCTGGGGGTGAGGATGGGGGGCTGCCAGCCTCGTGGGGGCCTAGGCTGGACCTTCCTCTGAAGCCCTTCCCAGAATGGCTTTGGGGTCCCCCCCCACCAAAGACCTGGTGTGGACGGCAGAGGGGAGAGGCACTCTCTGGCCAGGAGCTTCCAGGGCTCATCCCTGGTGGTTGCTGTGGCCTAGTCCACTGATGGCATGGTGTGGTAGCACCGGACAGCTCCCCACCTGGTCCCCCAAGTTCAGGGGCAAATGGGGAGGAAATAGGACTCTGAGAAAGAGGCATTAAGCAGGCAGTGAGGCTGACCCCAGGCGAGCCCTACCAAGGTGACTGGGTTTGTTCACAGGGCCTGGGGAACATCACTAAAGGATCTGGGGCTCCCCAATCTGGCTCCATCCACAACAGCTGCCCAAAGAGTCCTTTGCCCTGGGCTGGTGCTGCCACAACCGGGTTAAGGGCATGGCTAGGCCCAGTGGCTCAGCTTTGATGTCCAAGACCCCGAACTCCTGCCTGCCTGGCGTGGTTCTTCCTGGTCACATGGACCAGATCGTGTTCCAAGTGGAGGATGTGGCTCTGCACACGATCGTCAATGGGGAAGGAGGTCAGGTACCTCTTTACCATAGCAAAGTAAGCCATGGCCTCCCCAAAGCTGGGCACAGGCACCTCATCACCATCCTCCTCCTCATCTTCATCATCTTCTTCATCATCGTCGTCGTCATCATCGTCATCGTCCTCCTCTTCCTCACTGTCTGACTCAGAGTCCTCCTCACCTTCCAGGAAATGGAGGGTAGGGTACTGGGCCTCCTCCTGGGCACCATAGCCTCCGAAGCTGCCACCAGCCTCCACTACACCCTGGGCCCAGTCCTCTGCTTCCAAGCCCTCAGAGGAGCTCTCCTCCTCTTCCTCCTCCTCTTCATCACTGTCATCTACATCACCCTCCTCTTCTACCTCCTCTTCCTCTCCCAACTCCTCTCCTTCCCCCCCTTCCTCCTCTTCTTCCCCTTCTTCCTCCTCCTCTGCCTCCTCCTCCTCCCCTTCTCCCTCCTCTTCCTCTTCCTCCTCTTCTTCTTCCTCCTCCTCCTCCCCCTCACTCTTGAGGGCAGTGGTGATGGTAGCATTTGGGCCACCCCCGAAGCCAGCCTCACGAAAGCAGGCAGCTATATCAGAAGGCTCCACTGCCTGCCAAGCTGCAGCCACGAAGTGCAGGGCCTCCATGAGGCCCAGCTGAAGGCCTGATCGATCTTGTCCCTCTAGTGCAGCCATGGCCTTAAGCAGCATAGCCTGGCGGTAGTGGCCCTTCACCTGCTGGACCACTCCCCGCTCCAGTGGCTGCACGGTGCCCGGCGGAAAGAAGGCCAGCTGCACATGCCGCAGGCCCGAGGTATCCACCGACTGGGCAGCCAGGCGGCCGGCAAGTAGCAGGACTCGGCGAGACTCTGCAGCCATACGGGTGTCTAGGGCCTTCAGGTACTTGGCCAGGGCCTGGGTTGTGACACCACCCTTAGAGTTGGCGGTGTAGTCGCAGGGCAGGCCGGCTTGGCCTGCACGGGGCTTGGCTGACTTGCCCGCCACCAGTGGGGGCAGTTTCTCGCTGCCGTCGGCGTTGGCGCACAGCAACACACTAAGGCGCTGGGTGGCCCTGCGCGCCCGTCCATCGCTGCCACACAGCCCCGCGGCCTGATCGGGCAAAAAGTCGTACCATAAACTGGTCTCAGTGGCGCTGAACACGTCCTGGGAGGCGTAGCCCTCGGCCACCGACGGCGGCTGCTCCTCCCGAGCGCGCCAGCCCGTCGTACCCCCACCACTGCCCTCCGAGGGCACGGCAGGTGGGCTGGCGGGCGCTGCTGGGGCCCGGGAAGCAGTGCTGCGCGAGCGGGCGCGGGCCACGCCACTGCAGGACACTACTCCGTGGCGCCGGCGGAAGCGGTCCAGCCAGCCGTTGGAGGCAGTGAAGTCATCCATGCCCAGCTCCTCGGCTATCCGCAGAGCCTTCTCCTTGAGAATGATGCCCTTCACGGGCAGGCCGGCGGCGCGGATCTGTTGGAACCAGGCGATAAGCAGCCCCTCGAGCTTGTCGTAAGGGGACAGCTTGTTGGTCTTGCGGCAGGTGGAGGCCACACCGTACTTGCGCTCCGACGCCAGGATGGCGCGCTTGTTCTTCAGGATGGTGCTCAGCGTGGACGGCGGGATGTTGAAGCGCCGCGCGATCTCGCCCTTGCGCAGGTCCGGGTTCTCCTCCACCTCCTGGATGATCCGCGACTTCTCCCGGAACGTCAGCTGCCGCCGCTTGGGGCCCATCCCGGCGCGCCCCCCGCCCCGGGGCCCGGCGCCACCGCCGCCTCCCCGGGGCGGGGGGCACCTGGTGGCCTCTCCCGCGCGCCCCGCCCGAGACAAAGCGGCTCGCGGGGCAGCTGGCAGGGTGGCGACCCGGCGGTGCCCGGGACACCTTCGGGGGCGCCGGCGGGCGCGGCGCCGGGCGGCGGGCAGCAGGCGGCGAGCGCGGGCGAGGGCGGGTGGCGCGGGCACGGAAGGCAGGAAGTGGCGCGGCACGGGGAGCGGGGAGCGCGGCGAGCGGGGCGGAGCGGGCGGAGCGGGCGGAGCGGGATCTCGCGGGAAGCGCGGGGACGCCCGGCACCGCCTCCCCGCCCTCCGCGTCCACCCCCTTCCCTGTCCACCCCCCCTCCCCGCCACCCCTGACCGACCGCCGGGAGGCGCTGCGGTCTGCTGGACCGATCAGCGCTTGGGCTCCCGGTGACCCGGGGGCAGGGGCGCGGTGTCCGGCCACTGAGCCGGGTGGCCTGAGATTTGCTGCTTGTAAAGAATAACTACTGTGTTTTGTATTTTATGAAGGTAAGAACAATTCACGTTTTGGGCAGAAACTGAAAATACAGGAAACTAGAAATCACCTATCACCCCCCAACACCTGGAGAGATGCGCAGGTAACATTTTGATACATTTTCTTCCAGTCTTTTCTCTAGGGAGGAGCATGCAGTTTTCTTTTTTAAAAAATGTATTGCATAAAACTGGCATCAGACTGTATAGACTGTATATCTGGCATCTCCTGCCACTTTACCTGGCATCAAGTGATGAGAATTTTGCCATATCGGTAAAGTGTTGCCAACATGCTTTTTAATGGTTGTATATTGTTCCAACTATGGGTGAACGCTAATGTATGTAGCTTATTGTTACACATTTAAGTTATTTTTATAATAGCCACACCAGTTTTAAATCTGTTTGTTGGTGATCTCACAATCCATAGATAAACACTGATAACATCTCAGTGTGTCACATGCATATAAACATAAATGTATGAGTTTGTAACTACAGAAATAACATCAGGTATATACATAGGCATACATACACATGAACCCTGAAACCTCTTGTTCCTGCACCAAACACATAAAAATGTAATTCTTGCCCTGGCCGGTTTGGCTCAGCGGTTAGAGCATCGGCCCGCGGACCAGAGAGTCCCGAGTTCGGTTCCTGCTAAGGGCATGTACCTTGGTTGCAGTTTGTCCCAGCCCCGGGTGAGGTTGTATGGGTGGCAACCAGTCGATGTGTCTCTCTTACATCGATGTTTCTCTGTCTTTCTTTCCCTCTCTCTCCCTCCCGCTCTATCTGAAGATAAATGCAAAAAATGTCCTTGGGTTCGGATAAAAAGAAAAATGTAATTCTTAATTATTTATTTGTTTATTTATTTATTTTTCTTTATTGATTTTAGAAAAAGAGGAAGGAAGAGAGAGATAGAAACATAATGAGAGAGAACATGGACTGGCCGCCTCCCGCATGTCCCCCGCACTGGGGATTCAGCCCACAACCTGGGCATGTGCCCTGATTGGGAGTTAAACTGGCAACCTCTTGGTGCATGGGTCAATGCTCAACCACTGAGCCACACCAGCTGGGCTAATTCTTAATTCTTAATACTTTGAATGTATTACAGTGTTTTTTAAAAAAGCCTCTTAGAGCCCTAGCCAGTGTTGTTCAGTGGTTAGAGCATCCACCCAAGCACCAAAGGGTCATGCATTCAATTCCCAGTCAAGGCCATGTACCTGGGTTGCAGTTTCCATCCCTGACATCAGGGTTGTGTATGTCTTCCTCACATTGATGTTTCTCTCTCTATCTCTCTTTCTCTCTCCCTTCCACTCTCTCTAAAAATCAATGAAAAAATATCCTCATGTGAGGATTAACAAAATAACAATAATAATAATAAAATATGGGCTTACATATGCTTGTAAATGTATAGACCTGCCCTATTCACTGTGGTAGCCACTAATCCCATATGTAGCTATCGAGCACTTGAAATGTGTCAAGTCTAAGTTGAGATGTCCTATGAATGTAAAATATACATTGGACTTTGAAGACTTGATACCAGAAAAAGTATGTAAAATATATTATTAATAATTTTTATGTTAATAACATGTTGAAATTATATTTTGAATAGATTTGGTTAAGAAAAATAAACTTTTATTTTTATTTAATTTTTAATGTGGCTAATAAAAATGTTAAATTACATATGTGGCTCGTATTTGTGCTTCGTATTATGTTTCTGTTGGCTTGGACTGTTATAGACTATGCAACAAATTTATAATAGTGGCTGCCTCTGAAGAGGGGTCCTGAAGATTTATGTGGGGTGGGAGATTGAATTTTCACTACTTTTTTGTACCATTGAATTTTTCTTTTTTAATTTTGTTTTTTATCTTCACCCAAGGACTTTTTTTTTTTTTTTTTGATATTTTATTCAGATAGAGTGGGAGAGAGAGAGAGAAAGAGAAATATTGATGTGAAAGGGATACATCGAGTGGTCACCACCCACACGACCCAACCAGGGCAAGGGACAAACTATAACCGAGGTACATGCCCTTAGTGGGAACTGAACCCTTCAGCCCAGAAGTATGGTTGGATGGAAGGAGTTGATCCTCTATCTATGATGTTTGCAATTTCTTTCTTTTTTTAATCCTCACCAGAGGACATGTTCACTGATTTTTTATTTATTTTATTTATTTAAATGTTCTTTATTGATTTTAGAGAGAGAGGAAGGGAGAGGGAGAGAAAGATGGAAACATCGAGGAGAAAGAACATCAACTGGCTGCCTCCTGCATGCCCCTCACCAAGGACTGGCCCACAACCTGGGCATATGCCCTGATGGGGAATCGAACCAGTGACCTCCTGGTGCTTGGGTCAACGCTCAACCACTTAACCACACCAGCCAAGCATTCTCTGATTTTTTAAAGAGAGAGAGAGAAACATCGATGTGAGAGAGAAACATTGATCTGTTGGTTGCCTCCATACACACCCTCACTGAGGATCAAATCCAAAACCTTGGTATGTGCCCTCACCTGGAACTTTGAATCCAACCGGCAACCCTTTGGTGTATAGGATGATGCTCCAACCAACTGAGCCACCTGGCCAGGGCTACAGTTTCTTTTAGTTTATTTTTAATGACTAGGTATATATTTTTTAAAATATATTTTTATTGATTTTAGAGAGGAAGGGGGAGAGAGAGAGAAACATCTTGATCAGCTGCCTCCTGCATGTCCCCTACTGGGGATTGACCCAAAACTCAGTCATGTGCCCCAACCAGGGATCGAACTGGTGACTTTCTAGTGCACAGGATAATGATGCTCAACCAACTGAGCCATGCTGGCCAGGGCTAGGTGTTTGTTTGTTTGTTTGTTTTTTAGTTGAATACATAATCTATGATCTAATTGGCAAAAGGAGAATTCGGGAAGGTACACAGAGTTGCTGTGTGATTTTAAGGGATTGGAGTATAATTGCCCTCTCACCACCTCCACCACCTCTGCATACCCTGTAGGACCATGTGTGTGGTCACCCCTGCTGGGCTGATTTTGAAAACGAAACCCTGTGGTCTTTTGGGTGGGAGGCCCCCAGGACAGTCACAGCCTTGACCCTTGACCCTTGACTCCTGCCTGCTAGCACATAGCATAGTTCCTGGCACAGCACAGGAGCTAGGCAAAATGTTGAGAGAAGGAAAAGTCACAATCCCTACCCATGTTATACTTCTGAATTAGGACTGGGGTCTTCCCATCCCATTCCTCTACACCTCTGTCCCCTGGCCAGCCCAAACCCCCACTACCCAGCCTTTCCTTTTGCCACCAAGGTCCTGTGGTTGGAACTACCCGGAAAGGGGTGAAAGGCTGCAGCTCCTGCCTTCCCAAGCTGTGCCCCTCCCAGCTGGAGACCACCTCTTCCCTTGGAAGACAGGGTGTAAAAACTGCTTAACCCTTCCTGCCTCCCAGGACAGCGGGCTTGCTGGAAGGTGATTAGATAATTAGAAAATGCTTAGATTAAACTAGTGACAAATTCAGCCTCCCAGATCATCAAAGAAACACCAATTAAACAGTATGATGCCCGTTGGCACCACATTAGCTAAACCATCAACGACTGGAGATACTTCCATAACTGGGTTTGAGGTCACCAACACCCTCCTGGCCCCTCAGTGCTAAAATCCTTGGCTAGGCCAACCATGAGAGCCTCCTCTGGCACAGCCTGAGAAAATTGAACCCCATGGTGTCACGTCTAACCTGGGCACCCCACCCCACCCCAGGAATGCCCATCAGTTACGTGTTGGCCCCTACTGAAGGTCTGCCTCCTACGCTGGGGGTGCCTGGTGGAAATTAGGCTTTGGGGACGCCTGTCGCGGGGGCAGGGAAGCTGCATGAGGAAAGGTGCCTGGAGAGAATGTCGGCTCCCCACTTGCCCCACCTTGTGACCTTGAACAAGTTAATGAACTTCTCCGAGCCTCAACGTCCCTGCCTGTAAAGGGGCGAACACAAACCGCATAGTGCAACTGCGTTTGGCAAACTCCTGGAACGGTGCCGCTCGCGGAGCCTACTGGTGTTTGTAAAGGATGTTAAACCGCAGGGGTCCCTTCTAAGGCCACCCTTGGGAGTTGTTGCTTCCACTGGGGCCCTCTCTGCCGGGGGCATGTAATTCCAAACCACATCCCGAGAAACGGAATCTGGGAAGCCAGGAATCTTGGGCCCTGGCTTCAGGGTGGGGGTGGAGCGTGGGAGAAACCCCAATTCCTTCGCTTCACCCAAAGCTGGAAGTTGGGCGGGGCGGGGCTCGTCTAGCCTCCGCGCCTTTCACCCCGCGGGCCCCGCCCTCGGCCCCGCCCTCCACTAACCCGAGCCCCCATTGGTGGCGTCCGGCGGCGCGGCCGCTGTTATTTTTCGAATATATAAGGAGGTAGAGGTGGCAGCAGCTGCTAGAGGCTTCCCGGACGGGTGGCCGGTCCCCACGTCCCTCCATCCTTCCCCACCCTCCCCGCTTCCCTTTCCTCCCTCACTTCGACCCCCTTGCTCTGCTTCCCTCCCCCCCACCTCCACCCCGGGCCCTCTTTTCCCCTGGTCCTGGCCATTTGTGCCCAGCGTTTGTGGGTCTCCCGGAGCCCGGCCTCCGGCCAGCCTCTGCGGGCCCAGCACGATGGAGCTGCCCCAGCCCGACCGCGCCGCGCCGAGCCTGGCTCTCAGTCCGGCCGGCGTGCGCGGTGGCGCCGAGCGTCCGAGCCACCTCCCGGACCTCCGGCTGGGCGCTCGTGGCCTCCTGGGATCCCCGGAGCGCGCGGTCACTTCCTCGCCGGTCGCCACCCTCACGCAGACCATGCACAACCTCGCTGGGCTCGGCAGGTAGGGCGCCCCAAGGAGGCCGGGTATGGGGTGAGAGGTTGGTTCTAGGGTGTTGGTCCAGAGCCTCCTGGGGAGCCCAGCACGAGGTCCGAACCTGAGAGGCGGAGTGAGGAGGCATCCCTGGCAGAGCCTACTCTGGGGACCCGGACAAGGCAGTGAGGCCAGGACTGTGCTGCTCACGGTCTCCAGATGACCTGCTCTTGGCAGGCACAAGACTCTGAAGACGCACTCACCCCCCCCCTCCTCCCTCAGTGTACCTCTACCATTCTGCCTCCCTAAATTCTGCCCAAGTCGCCACCATTTTGCCCCAAGCCAGGGGATCGGGAGCCTGGAGGGGGAACTTGAGGGTGGTAGGGCAGTTCAGTCCTCTTAAGTCCATTGCCCTTGCTCCCTCTCTACCCCTAGTTCTTTCCTGGGGGTTAAAGGGTTAAACGTTGGTCCTGCTCCCTGAGCTCACCTGCAGGGTCCAGGCTGGGTTGCCCTTCCCGAAACAAAAACCCAAATCTTGGCCCTTATGGGTAGGAGCCTAAAGACCCTCCTGGGCTCCTCTGGGCTGCTCTGCTGCCCCAGCATCCCCCAGGATGATCCCCAGCCCAGCTCCATCCGCTTGTCTTGGGCTCATTTCCCCCTGTAGAAAAAGAGAGAAATATCAATGTGAGAGAGACCCATAGACTGGCTGCCTCCCTCACGACCCCAACCAGGGCCAAACCAAAACCGAGGTACGTGCCCTTGACCAGAATCGAACCCGCGACTATTTGGTCTGAGGGCCAATGCTCCAACCACTGAGCCAAATCAGCCAGGGCAGGAAGATCTTTCTTAAACCAATTGACAAAGAGAAGACAGGGCCTCTGTAGAAGGAGCCTGCCTTGGCTGAGAAGAGAGATGGTTTTCCATGCCATCTCCTCTCTTGAGGCAGTGTGGAAGCTGAATGGGCCCTTCAGAAGTGGGTGGTTGTTGGGAACATGGGCCAGACAGCCCTTGAACCCCACATTTACCTTTCTGCTTCCCTGGGTCCCTGCTCCCTTCCCAGGGAGACCCCAAAGAGTCAGGTAGGCAGCCTGCTCACATGCCTATCCCTGTCCCCGCGGCGAGCGTCTGCATCCTCCCTGTCGTCTGAGTCCTCTGAATCTTCTGATGCAGGTGAGGCCCAAGGGTGCCAGGGGAGTTTGGGGGGCTGCCTGAGCCTCCCCCTTTCTCTGTCAATCAGACTAATGTCCTTCCAACAACTTGGGAGCCTGAGAAGCCTGCCCCTGCCTACCTCTGGTGGAGCTCACTACATCCAGCCCAGAATGGCAGAGCCAGTGGTTGGGCGGGGCCTTCTGCAGGAGATGAGATCTCACTTATTTAAAACCAAAACCCCTGAACCACAGCCCCACCTGGGAGGCATTAGAGCTTAAAGCTGGTTATTTTATAACACTCACTTGCTCTCAGCTATAGTATTTTTTTTTAAAGCTGTTATCTCTTCCAGAACAAATGATCTTAACCCAGTTCAAGAAAAATGCTTAGAGTTTTGGTTTACAAACCATGTAGAGGTGTAAATGGGGAGTGGCCCCTGGGCAATTGGGGGACAGTGTCAGCCCTTGGGGCCCATGGGTGGGTTTTGCTTCATTTTTTAATGTGTCAAGATCTAAAATAGAAACCCATTCCCCCCTTCTCTGAATAGGGTTGGGACATGGTGGGAGAAAGTGTAGAAAATGGCACTACTTTCCACTCTGTTCCCTCAGGTGTCTGCATGGATTCTCCCAGCCCCATGGACTCCCAGATGGCGGAGCAGACGTGAGTGGAGAAGAGGGATCCCCACTACCAAGGAGTTAGCACCTGCCTTTGGGAATCCCAGCTGTAGTATAAACTCACTGGGGAATCCTGGGAGAGTAGACAGACCCCTCTGGATCCCCACTACTTGACTTTCCTAAGTTCTGGGATTCTGCTCCCTGTCTCAGAGAAGGGTCTGCTCTCACAGGAACATCTGAGAGTGGGCTCAGGGGCAGGGTGGTGGGGACAGTGGCCTCTGGGAGCAGCAGATACCTGATGTCAGCCAGCCCTTATGGGAGAGTATAGGCCTGGCGTGTGTCCTGTTTTCCTTTCTGCTTATACGTGTTTTTTTTTTGTGTGTGTGTGTGTGTGTGAAATGTCACAACTTTAAAATATGGTCCAACAAATTCAAAACTTTTATCAGTCTAGGCCAAACAAAATAGTTGCTATAGGCTAGGTTTGCCCCTTGGCCATCCTATCAGCAACCTCTGGCTTTAGTGACACTTGACCCTCAGGTCCACCCCTGGGCCAGGCTCTTTGTGAGAGGGACTGGAGAGAGAACTGGGGGGCTCTGTTCAGGACAGATCCCACCCCCCTTGGTTGTGGGGCAGGAGCAGTACCTTCCAGAGCACAGCTGTTCCCATCCAGCTGTTCAGGTCTCGGCAGGGAGAGCAGCTGCCAGGCATTAGTGAGAACAGCTGAGCATCCCCAACCTGGGCTGGGGGACTGTGGCTTTGAGTTTAGGGCAGTGGCTGTTTTCCTCCCACTGCTTTTGATCAGACTGGGTTGGGCGGCAGGGTTTGTTCACAAACAGGAAACGGGGAGAGAATTGGGTGGAGGGACTGCAAATTAGGTTTTGGTGGCAACACAGAGCCGTCCCTGCTTTACCCCAGGGTACAGGTGCAGACTGGAAACCAAGCCAGTGAAATTGGTCATCTCTGATGCCAAGTTGGCTGGGCACAGCCACTCCAGCACACACACCTTGGGACCAACCCTCTGACATTTTAGTCCTCAGTGCCCCTCCCACCTCTGCACCTGCTTTGACCGTTACACAGTGTGTGTGTGTACACACATAGATGCACAAAGCCCTGCGTGGCAGGTGGTCTCTGGCAACATAGCTAGGGTGGTAAGGCCTATCTACAGAAGCTTGTGCTCCAGCCTCAAAAGGAACATCTGTTGGAATTCCTTCCTAAGGCAGGAGGAGGGGGTAGGACAAAGGCTGGGTTCTAAAAAATTCCATAGGAGGGAGAAGAGGATGTGACTCTACACATTTGTCACTAGGGGGTCTGGCATGGCAAACTGGCTCATCCAGGGGCACACTAAACCAGGCCCCTGTCCTGGGGGGAGGGGGCAGGACAGCCCCACACAACTGAAGGGAAGCCCAGCCTTGCTGGCATTCGGGCCCTGGAGACACTCACATTGTTGGCCAAGGATGAATGCCTTTCCTGGTGGCCATATGGCCCCGCTGAGGTGATTTGCATACAGGTGGAAGGCCTGTGGGCAGGCTGGCATGACCGTTGTCTGGGTAACACTCAGCCACCTTTCGACCTAGCCCAGCTGTCTCCATTGCTGCCCTTCTCTGGGCCGTCTTCCATTCAGGGCAGCCTCTACAACCCAGGCTGCCTCTCGTCTTCCCTCTCCTCAATACCCGGGTCCCCAGGTATTGACATTCTTTCCACTTCCTCTTTCCACTGTCCTTAGCCCTAGTCCCCGGGTCTTGTGGACTGGGGACCTGATGCTGGTGGCGGGTGAGGGACTGTGGCGGGAGGTGGGCTGCACAGGACTCTTCTCTCTCCTAGGTTTGAACAGACTATTCAGGCAGCTAGCCAGCTTATTCGAAAGTAAGTGCTTGGCTTTCCTCTTGTAGGCTCTGGTGGTCTACCCACCAAAAGCTACCTCTGCCCCCACCCCCGGTTCTCTGCCCACCCATCCCAGGCGCTTCCGTGGGGAGGGGGTGCACAGGGCTCTGGTGGAGGGGCATCCTGCGTGCTCTCCTTTATGGTCCCAAACTCTCCAGCCCTGATGTGTCCCTGTTTCATTCTGCAGCAAGCAGATCACCATCCGACGTTTCCAGTCCTTGCCGGTGAGTGCCCTTTGCGGCCTGACAGGAGGCTCAGGCCCACTAGCTGAGACTGGGGAAGGGCAGGAGGGTTCCAAAGCCCAATTCCTAGAGGGTACATTTGGGATCAGATGTCCTTGGTCTGGCTGTGGGTGATGGGGTTTGGGGGGAGGTGGATGGACAAACGAGGGGATTCAAGGGAGGGATGGAAGAAGGTAGGGCCTGGGCTGGTGCAAGAGAAATGTAACTCCAGTGCCTGCTGCCCCCCTGGCTCCCCAGGTGAGGCTTCTGGGCCACAGCCCTGTGCTACGGAACATCACCAATGCCCAAGCGCCTGGCAGATGGAAGAGCGAGACTCGTGGCCAAACTGCCCACAGCTCTGGGGAGGATAAAGAGAATGTACGCTCCTGGCAGGCCAGAGTGGGAACACTCCAGGGAGAGAAGGGGGCATGCTGGGGTGGTTCCCTGGCATTTGATGACCCCCCACCCCCTTCTTGCCCACAGGATGGATTTGTCTTCAAGATGCCATGGAAGCCCACACATCCCAGCCACACCCATGCTTTGGCTGAGTGGACCAGCCGCAGAGAAGCCTTTGCCCAGAGGCCAAGCTCGGCCCCCGACCTGATGGTACATCAGGAGAGCTGACCCTTGCAGGGCAGGCGTGCGCACAGGGCAGATGCCCCCGAAGGCAGCCTGGGGATGGGAGAGTGATTCGGAGCCTGAGGCAGGGGAACCTTTTCTCAGAAGGGTAGGGGTGGGGCTGCCTTGGGTCCCCACCCTGAGTAGCCTGTGTTTGTTCATCACCCACACAAGTGTCTTACCCCTGAGCGGAAGATGGAAGTAGAGGAGCTGAGTCCCCTGGCCCAACGCTTCCCCCTGACCCCCACCAAGGGGGCACCTGACGAAGATGATGGGTTTGTGGACATCCTGGAGAGTGACTTAAAGGTACGCAGCCTTGCTCCATCAGGCCCCCTACATCTCCTTCTGAGGTCTCCCAAAGAGGAGAGCTCTGAGCTCCTGCAGCAAGACTATGATCTCATTTCAATGTCAGAAGAAGAATTGGAGGTAACTGAGTCACAGCCTGACCTTTGGCCAATCAGAGAGCAGCTGGCTGGTGCTGCAGTGAGGGGAGGATGGGCAGAGTGGGGGGAAGGCGCTCCTGCATGCCTCCTCCTGGTTCTGCGCAAGCCCCGGCAGTGAGGGGTCCCTGCCACCCTGCCACCTCCTGGTTCTGGGGGCGCTGCCCTGTGTGGAGGTGCTGGCAGGGCCAGAGAAGGCTGCTGGGAGAACAGAGAAGGCAGTGCTGGAGGACTGGGGCCTCAGGGGTTTGACCTGTGCCTGTTGGTGTGACCCTATCCTTGTTGATTTGGCCTCAGGATGATGATTCAGTTCCCCCAGGCATGGAGAACCTCATTAGTGCCCCACTGGTCAAGACTTCGGAAAAGGAAGAGGAGCAGGTGAGCTTCTGGGGTGGCCCACTTAGACCTTGGAGGGGTGGAGCCCTATCCTCCAGGTAGGATTGGGGGAGGGCAGGAGCTGAGACTCTGACCCCTGACCTACGGCCCTTACCAGGACCTCATCATGTACAGCAAGTGCCAGCGGCTCTTCCGCTCTCCGTCCATGCCCTGTGGTGTGATCCGACCCATCCTGAAGAGGCTGGAGCGGCCCCAGGACAGGGACCTGCCTGTGCAGAACAAGCGGAGGAGGAGTGTGACCCCTCTGGAGGAGCAGCAGGAGACTGAGGAACCTGTGAGAGCCCTCCTCCTGGGGTGGGGCTGCCACCTTCCCAACCTACTCTGCAAGCCCTTCTCAGCCGGGATGCAGGCAAGGGGGGTACCAGCCAGGCTGGGCACAGAGGGGAAGCCTCCCCCCTGACCCTGGCTGCCATCTATCTCACAGAAAGCTCGTGTCCTCCGCTCCAAGTCCTTGTGTCACAACGAGATTGAGAGCATCCTGGACAGTGACCACCGTGAACTGATTGGGGATTACTCTAAGGTACCAGCTGGCAAGACCCTCAGGCTCCACGCCTTACCGACTGCAGCCCCCTAGCCCAGCAGCTGCTGCAGTGCTGCCCTCTCCCCTGGAGGCCCCTTTTCTTTTCTTTTTGTTTTAGAGAGAGGAAGGGAGAGGGAGAGAGAGATAGAAACATCGATGAGAGAGAACATCAATTGGCTGCCTCCTGCATGTCCCCCGCTAGGGATCCGGCCCACAACCTGGGCATGCGCCCTGACTGGGAATCGAACCAGCGACCTCTTGGTGCGTGGGTCGACGCTCAACCACTGAGCCACACCGGCCAGATAGGGCCCCTTTTCTTTGTCCTCTGCATCCTATGGTCCTTGACCCTCGCCTAGACTCTACTCTCTGGCTCTCCTTGGTCTCCTGATCTATCTCACATATGGCATCAGTGGTGTCTCCACCTTGGAAAACATTTCCAAATACATGTCTAGTTTGATCCTGCTCGGGTCTCATTCCCGGGCTTGGCAGAGCTGAGGGCAGGAGGCAGGAGTCCATCCCTCTGCTCCCCTTCAGTTCCCCTTGAAAGCTTCTTCCCAGGGTATCAGACCCCAAAGGCACCTCTCGGTTGCTATGGGAATCAGAGCTGAATTTGAAGGTCAAATCAGGTGTGGCCTTGGCTTGGGAAAAAAGCTCCATCCTTCCCATGCTCATCTTACCCATTTCATGTTCTTCTTTCTCAATCCCTTTCTCTCCTCTCTTCCCTTCAGGCCTTCCTCCTACAGACTGTGGATGGGAAGCACCAAGACCTCAAGTACATCTCACCAGAAACAGTACGTGCAGATGCGCTGTTCACCCGTTGACCTTCCCCGAGAACAGGCTGCAAGCACTGGGTAGGGTAGGGGTAGGGGCCGGCCCCTGCCTCCCGGCCTGACCTGCTGGGACCCACCTCCGTGGCCTCTTACAGATGGTGGCCCTGATGATGGGCAAGTTCAGCAACATTGTGGAGAGGTTTGTAATTTTGGACTGCAGATACCCCTATGAGTATGAAGGCGGACACATCAAGGTGAGATGGTGATGAGAGAGGTGCTGAAGACCCCCCACTTCCATCCTTCCTTTGTAGGGGTGCCCTCTTGTGGGGAAGGGTCCTGCCCAGCCAGAGGTGGGGTCACCCATTTGAAAGACAGGAACTGCATAGGGGAGGGGTCTGCCACCCAGGCCCAGAGCTGTGGCCTGACCTCCAGCCACTCTGGCAGACTGCTGTGAACCTGCCCCTGGAACAGGACGCCGAGATGTTCCTGCTGCAGAGCCCCATCACACCCTGCAGTCTGGACAAGAGAGTCATCCTCATTTTCCACTGTGAATTCTCATCTGAGCGTGGACCCCGGATGTGAGTCCCAGCTCCACCCAAGCTTGTGGGTGCTGGAACCTTCCTATGGCCCGAGGCCTGATCCTGGCCCCTCGTTGGCCTGGGCCTCTGTCTCCTCTGACTGCCTGGAGCAGACCTCACTCTGCTTCCTTGTGCAGGGCACCCTGCTCCTATCTCCCTCTCACTGTCTTTTCCATCAGGCCTCACCCTCCATCCATCGCCACCACTCCCATAAAATCTGATTCCAAGCCTCTAGCGGTGTCCTTAAAATCCAAGGGCCCTGTCCCAGTCCTCAGTGACATGGACCCTTCTGGTGTTCACATGGCCTTTCCTTGCCCCACTTCTTGCCCTCACTAAGTCTTGTCCAGACCTCCTGAATGTATCTCTTGAATTTTGTCAACTTCTTTTTATTCTGCTTCGCCCTTCCTAGTCCAGGCTAGACGTCACTAACAAAGATTCTGCAACTGCCTTCCAGAAACAGAGAGGCCCCTTTGAGTAGCTAGACTGATCTAAAATTGCCTGCACTCAAGCCTTCTGTGGTTCTCCAAGGCCCTCAAGGCAGGGGCGCAGGGAACAGGTTCTCTGAGGGCCACCCTGCTGCATGGCCGGCTCTGACCACCATACCCATTGGTGCCAGGTGCCGTTTCATCAGGGAACGAGATCGGACCATCAATGTCTACCCCAGCCTCTACTATCCGGAGATGTACATCCTCAAAGGCGGCTACAAGGACTTCTTCCCACAGCACCCGGTACGGCAGGGGCGTGGCCATGGCCTGCATGGGAGGGTGGACTGCAGGGAAAGGGCTTGGCCAGGCATCACCCTGAGAGAAGAAGGGAGGGCTGCCCTCCCCAAACTTACTCCTTCCCCCATACTGATTGACCTCCCCTGTCCTTCCCTAGACCTTCTGTGAACCCCAGGATTATCGGCCCATGAACCACGAGGCCTTCAAGGACAAGCTGAGGACCTTCCGCCTCAAGACCCGCAGCTGGGCTGGGGAGCGGAGCCGGAGGGAGCTCTGCAGCCGCCTGCAGGACCAGTGAAAGGCCCGCCACGGACTCACCTGCCTTCAGTGCCTGACTGGCCTGAGCACCGGCCACCCGGGGGCCTGTAGGACTGAGGGTCTGCTGGAGGCCCCAGGGCCTGTCCAGGGAAAGACTGAGGGTGTGCTGTCCATTTGCCCCCAGCCCTGATCCCCTGGTCTCACTCCAGCCGTATTCCATATCCTGGTGCCATCCCGCTACCAACACCCCAGCCCCTAGAAGAACCCCGCCTGTCGACTTAGTGGAATTGGATTAAGTCCAACTCAAAGGAAGTATTTTGTGTTCAGCAGGAGCCTTTTCACTTTTCTCTTTCTTGTTTGGATTAACCATTTGTCTTCCTGTGTCCAGAAAAGCCCCCTTTTTTCTAGGGGCTTTGTTTGTATGTATGAGGCTGGGGGAAGCCACAGCGCCCGCCACGGTGGGCAGAGCTGCGCTCCTCCCTTCCTGGGAGTGGCACGGTGCCCGGCCCTCACAGCACTCCCGCGTGTGTCTGCGTTTTCGCTTTCTCGTTGCTTCTTTCCTGTCCCTCCTTCTGTGCACCTGCAGCACAGACATAAGCTCTTATTCTTCCTGTTTCAGTGTTACCTGCGTGCTTGATTTTGTCTGATTTTTTTGCCCATCTCAGGACATTCACAGGTGGTCAGGCAGTCACCCTCACCCTAAGAGAAGGCAGGGCTGCCCCACCCAAAGTTACCCATTAGGCTCCCCCTGTCCATTTGGGGTTAGAGACTCAAACCTTAATTCCCCAACTGGCCTGTTTTCTGTTGCCTCGGAAAGGGATGTGATTCGAGGGGTGCCCTGGGTGAGGGTAAGGCCTGTGTCCTGAACCTCAATGGAAGCCCAACCCCTACTGCTGTGAACCCTGGGGCCTGACTTCTGAGAACGTACTGCTGTCTTGTGGATGGACAGAGGGATGAACGAACGGGTGGATGGATGAATGGTAAATGGATGGATGGCCGTAGACTTGCACATACAAACCACTGAGTGGAAGCGTTTCAGTGAGTGGGACAGCCTTCGGCAGGAGTCTATGTGGATAAAATCTTTACACTTTAAGGTTTGGAAATATCTAAGAGGAAATGTCATTGAAGCAGCTAAACCAAGGACAGAACCACCTCTGACTTAACCTCAGGATGTGGGAAGGGCTGTGCTTGAAGGCCCTGATGAGTCATCTGCTAGGGCCTTGTTTCAATAAAGCACTGAACAAGATGAGCAACCACCACTGTGTCCTCTTGACAAGACTACAGCAGACCCTGATGGTGGCATAGGGCAGGGGTGGTTCAGAAGATTGGGATGAAAGAGTCCTGGGAGGTAGCTTCATGCTCTCTTCCCAAGTCTCGCCATGACTTGGGATTTGGCCTCCCTCTTCCCCTCATCTGGCTGTTCAAGCACCTCTGGGCTCAACCTTCCTAAACTTTGAACCTTGAAGGCAAGAGTGACTCCGTCACTCCTCTAGAATTGCCAGTGGCTCCCCATTGCCGGCAGAATAACCTGGGCCTTCCCCAGCCTCATTCCTCACCTCCAACTGACTCAAATGTTCCATACCTTGCTCATCACAGTTCCTTGCCTTTGCGTCTACTGTGCCATCCTCAGAGCTGTTTTCTCTTGTCTGTTATTCCTCCTGTAATGATCACTTCCTCCCAGAAGCCTTCCTGCCCTCTCAGGGAAATGGCTTTCCTCTCAGTGTCCCCGGCACCCAGCAGAGATTCCACCACCTAGGAGATGCCGAGTTCAAGATCAGACAATGGGAAAGGGTCGATCTGGGAGAACTGGTCCCAGGCCCAAAGCTGGTGCTTCTCGTCTCAGAACACCACTGCTCTGTTAAATACCCCTCCTGCCCCCCTCCAGTGTGAGCTGTTTGTGATTGCAGGGACTGCTTTACAAATGTACAAATAAGATGCTGCCTGATACAGAGTACACACACATCCGGGGTCACACCACTTTCTGTGGAAATTCATCTACCTTCTGCAGTAGGTGGTGGGATAATTACTCACTCCATTTTGCAGATGGAAAAGTGGAGGCTATTTTTAGCAACAAGAAGGGACTCCAGATTCCCAGGCTGAGTCTAAAGAACACTTGCCCTGTCTTCAGCTTGACCCTCACGTTTGTTATGCCTAAAGGATTGGTTTTCACTCCTGACCCAGAGCCCCCTGCAAGGATGCAGCGGATGGGGGAGTGTCTGGGGCTGGGCCTCTGCTCAGGGAGGTTGGGGCCTTGAAGACTCCAGAATCCCCCCTCTGTCCACCACGCAGGCAGTTGACACAAATGTCAACATTTACTGGGGTGAGGGGGCTTGCCCCATAAAAGGAGAAATAGCTCTGAAGACCCCTGGGAAAGAGAGTGAGCCCTGGGTATCAAGGTGCTGAGACTTGCAGCCCCACTCTGAGTGCTCAGGTGGTGTCCTATCTGGTTTTACCGAGGAGGAAGGGCAACTGGATGCTCAGAGAGGGCACTCACTTGCCCCAGGTCACGCAGCAGATAGAAGGAGAGCAGGCATTCTAGCTGCCCAGATCTCTCCTACTCCTCACTTCCTGCCCTGGTGACCAGAGCAGCCAAGGGGTGGGGCTGGGCTGCCTGGCTTCTGCTCTGAATGTACTCCTCCCACTCCACCAGTCTGGATCAGACCACATGGGGAGGAGGGAGCAACGGGCACCGAGTGTTTAACAATGCCCAGGCCCTGTGCCAGGTGCTGACATGCACAGCCATGCCTGCCCCCCTTATAATCCACCATCAGAGTCATAGTCACTTAGTCTGCTCCAGACACTTGTACATATTATCTCCTAAACTCAGAATGGTTTTCAGCTCATTTTGCAGGGAAAACAAGAGGAGGGCAGGGAGGAGATTTGGGGCAAGCCAGAGAGAAAACTTCCCCAAGAGAAGGCCCTGGTGCTGGCACCTACCCTGAGAAAGGCGCAGGCCTGAGCCTGGGGGAGGGGGTGCCAGGAGTCACCTTCTCAACTCAAGCCAGGATCCCCTCTGACTCTGGGAAGTTCAGGGGATGAAGCAGAGGTGGCTCAATCCCCCAACCCTCCAGCAAGAGAAGCTATAACTTTCTTCCTGGGTGTTCATAAAGGGAAGAGGATCAGACAAGGAAGTGGTTTAAATCCTGGGCTGCTGGCCAGTTTTAAAGGTTGTTTTGCTTGGGCTAGGGTGGGGCAGAAATTCCAGTCTGCAAGGAGCCATGTGCGGCCAGCTCACGTGGGTAAAGAGCTGCTTGCAGTTGGGCGAAAGTTGGGAGCTGGACTGTGCCAGGCCTGGCCAAGTCAGTGGGCATGCATGGGGTCCAGGCATTGTCCGAATTGCTTTCCAGGCAACTTGCAATGAAAATTTTTTATTTATTATTTTTTGTTAATCCTCACTCAAGGATATTTTTCCACGGATTTTTAGGTAGAGTGGGAGGGAGGGAGGGAGGGAGAGAGAGACACACATTATTGGTTGTCTCCTGCATGACCCCCAATCAGGTCCAGGAACTGAAACCAAAACCCAGGTACGTGCCCTTGATGGGGAATCGAACCCAAGACCCTTCACTCTGAGGCCAGTGCTTTGACCATGAGCCAAATCAGACAGGGCACAATGAAAAAAATTTTAAATAATGTTTTAAGCATGCTTTCCCTCTGGGGAGTGCCCGTGCCATCCTCCTCCTCCTCTCCTTCCCCACTTCTTACCCCGCAGGTACCATCTCCCAAACTCTAAGGGACCCCAGGACACATGCAACCAGGGGATTAGTGGGCAGAGGCAGCTCGTCCTGGGCTAACCCCTGAACCTGTCTCCAAGGCCCCTTTTCTCTGACTTCCCAGAGAGCTAAGGCAGCCCAGCCCAGGCTGTCCTATGGCTTCCTCCTTCCTAGGCACTTCCTTGTCCCCAGCTTTAATAAATGTACTCTCATAGTAACATATAATAATAATAATAAAATAAAAATAATGTTTTGAGTTTTTAAAAATATATTTATATTGATTTTTTAGAGAGAGAGAGAAATATCAATGTGAGAGACATTGATCAGCTGCCTCCTGCACACTCCCTGCTGGGGATCCAGCCTACAACCTGAGCATGTGCCCTGACTGGGACCTCAGTCTATAGAACAATGCTCAATCCACTGAGCCACACCAGCCAGGCTGTTTTTTTTATTATTATTTTTTAATTGATTTTAGAGAGAGGAAGGGAGAGGGAGAGAGAAACATCCAGGCTGCCTCCTGCACACCTTCGACTGGGGATTGAGCCCAAACCCGGGCATGTACCCTGATCAGGAATGGAACCCACCACCTTCTGGTGCTTGGGACGAATCTCAATGAGCTGAACCATACCAGCCAAGGCAAAATAACTTTTTTTTTTTTTTATCCTCACCCGAGTACCTTTTTGCATGTATCTTCAGATAGAGTGGGAGGGAGAGAAGGAGGAAGAGAGAAAGAGAAACACCGACCTGAGAGAGACACATCAAGTGATTGCCACCCACACGACCCCAACTGGGGCTGGGGACAAACTGCAACCAAGGTACATGCCTTTAGCGGGAACCGAACCCGGGACTCTCCGGTCCGCGGGCCGACGCTCTAACCACTGAGCCAAACTGGCCAGGGCTTGTTTTGTTTTTTAAGTTGAATAATCAACATTTCCTCAGCAGCACACATCTTAAACGTGGAGCAGAGAACTGAAGGACCACCGCGCAGCTCCAGGTACAGGAATGTCTCCAATTCCAGGAGGTTTGCTCGTGGTCCCTCCCAGTTGCCTGAACTCCAAGGTCACCATTATTCTGGTCGCTATCAGAGCAGATTAGTTTCACCTGTCCTAGAACTTCGTTTACATGAAATCATACAGTTCTTACTTTTTTGTGTTTGGCTTCTTTCACTCAGCATAATAATTTTGAGATCCATCCATATTTCCTTTAGCAATAGTTTATTCTTGTTCATTACTGTGTAGCATTTCATTATATGAATATACTCCTAAATTGAATTATTTATTCTGATTTTTAAATTAAAAAAATATTAAGGTGTAGCCCTAGCCAGGTAGCTCAGTTGGTTAGAGCACCTACCATTATGCCAAGGTTGTGGGTTTGATCCCGGTCAGGGCACATATAAGAATCACCAATGAATGCATTAATAAGTGGGACAACAAATTAATCTTTCTCTCTCTCTTTCTCTTTCTCTCAAATCAATCAATAAAAAATTTAAATTAGGGCCCTGGCCAGTTTGGCTCAGCGGTAGAGCATTGGCCCGCGGACCAATGAGTCTTGGGTTCGATTCTGGCTAAGGGCATGTACCTCGCTTGCGGTTCGTCCCTGGCCCTTGTTGGGGTTGTGCGGGAGGCAACCAGTCGATGTGTCCCTCTCACATCAATGTTTCTCTCTCTCTTCCTCCCCCTCTATCTAAAGATAAATTTTTAAAAATATTCGTGGGTGAGGATTAAAATAATAATAATAATTTAGCCCTGGCCGGTTTGGCTCAGTGGTTAGAGTGCCAGTCCTCGGACCAAAGAGTCCTGGGTTCGGTTCTGGTCAAGGGCACGTACCTTGGTTGTTGTTCGTCTCTGGCCCTGGTTGGAGGCATGTGCGTGGCAACCAATCAATGTGTCTCTCTCACATCGATGTTTCCCTCTCTCTCTCACGCTCTCTCTCTCTCCCTCCCTCCCTCCCTCCCACTCTGTCTGAAGATAAATGTAAAAATATCCTCGGGTGAAGATTTAAAAACATTTTTTTTAATTAGGGTATAATTGATATGCAGTAAAATTCACCCCTTTGAGTGTGTAGTTTTTTATGAGTTCTGACAAATGCACACCGTTGTGTAATCTCTACCACAATTGAGATATAGAACATTTTCATTCTTCCCTCTGTGGATTATTTGCGACTATTTCAATTATACTGAGAATATGCCCAGGAGTGGAATTGCTGGGTTATAGTGTGTGGGTTCAGTTTTAGTATTTTCCACACACAGTTTTCCAGGGTTGCTGTACCAACTTATTTCCCACCAGCAGTGTCTGAGAGGTCTGTTGTTCCATATTCTCAGCAAAATTGTTACATTTTAACCTCTCTTTCTTAACTAGAAAATGTATTTGTTGTAGCAAAGAGCTCTGTGGTCAAGCTGGGTCTACACACCATGACACAGCAGTGGCAGGGATGGTAGCCTCACAGACCCAGCCTGTTTTCTGATTCTCTATACTGAAATGTTAGCCTAAGTCTTGATTTTTTTCTCATCAGATTCTTTAAAAAGTTAAAGTGACTCTGCAATTAAT